ATTAAATCAACATTTACCAATTACCTTGTACTGTCACTTTCAACTGACAGATCGCCTCGTTATTGGAACGATCAGTTGCCTTATACGTAACCGTGTTAGTTCCTTGTGGAAATGTGCGCGGTGACTTCGCTCCTTCGGGATCCACGGTAAATCTAGCCAAACCACCACTATCTTTCGCGCTTACTCTTTTCCAAGAAACTGTTGCCCAGGTTTGACCACTGTCAGCATAAACGTTGAGAGAAATTGGGCAGTTGTTAAATTTTGGTGGCGTTCGGTCTACAAAGAATTAGTTATGAAGTCAGTTAAAAAAATTCGACCTAAATGCTGGAGCACACACAGAGACCAATAAATAGATATATAATTTATACAGGTTGATAAATGTTCGTCTGAAATATAACTTCCATCCACCTAAAGAATCGTTTTTGTTCAAACCCCTTGTAAAGTTTGTAAACAAAACAAATTTGGAAAATTTGGTAAATAATAAGAAATAAAATACAGTAGAACCTCTATTAAGCGACATCTTTGCAGTTAAGCTTTCTTTTGGAAAAGGCGGTGACAGATAAGAACCCAAATTAAAATACAAAGAGACCGCTGTTAAAAACATTCAAAGACACATTCATTATCATTGTCTTGACGTTATTCCATGTTCGTTAAGAAATTCACCGGGTTGTAGAAAATATTCAAATTACATCAACCCCTATAAAGCGACCAACCCGTATTAAAGAGACAATGTCATGAATCGCGCATGTGCGACGTCTCGTTCGAAACTTGAAAAGCTCAGGCGGAATTTTTCAAGTTTGAGTTCGGCAAATTTAAAATGGCGTCGATTAGTGGAGCCACTCGTGGTGTGTGAACAAGGGGAAAATTGCTGCGATTAATAGCTTATGGTACAAACACACAGAGATAAGGCTGTCATAAAGGGATAATTTAGAAGGAAAATATTTCGTAGCTGTTTTGGACAAGTTTAGTGACGCCTGTCAGTGCTGATAATAAATGCTGAATCGTAGTCAGTTCAGGTACTCAATGCATCCTGACCTCCTTATTGCCCTTATTATAATTGTCTTAGAAATCTGTATTTACTTAGCTTGTAATTGACTTTTCCCATATTCCACTTTAAGTACGCACGAACAATTTCAACAGAACGGAGTTGAGGTGGGACGTTTTCTTACTTTTAGTAGATTTCGTACGACTTGTCCTCGACTCGGCGACAATGTTCGTTGGAATGCGGAAAAGAACTACTGTATAGTCTTCCACGCAACTAAAGAACTATCAACAGCTCATCAAACGCGCATATAGATGTATTTGGAAAAATGTAGAGTTCTTTTTTCACTTACCCGCGCAGTAGAAACCAATACTCGAGCTCCAATCCCCGTCATCACAGGTGATAGAGTAAGGAGTGCTTTTAGAGCCTGCGTACCCCGCGTTGCAATAAAAAGTACACCTCTGACGATGTTTTGGCGTTGTCTTGCATATTTCTGGTGTGACTCTACCATTTTGTGGCTCCGTTAATTTTGCGCATCTTTTCACTGTCATAACAAATGTAAATGTAATCAGTATAGCTCTTATAGTGATCGTCTGAGTAAGAATAGCTTTGAAAGAAGAACTGTTGTTTGCGAGTGACGTTTCGACAACCTTATTGCTTCCCCGTCTATGGTGTTGAAATTCTGGTCAATTAAATATAAAATTGATTGTCAGTTCTATTGTAACGAAGGTTTATCAACAGTAGTTTAGACTATGAGTAGAGCCTCCTTCGCTTAGTTCGCCTGGTTCCTGGCGCGAAACCTTGGGGCGAGAGTGAAGAGAGTTTGGGTTGTTACTGATGATATAAACAGATCAGTTACTTACCTTGGCATGTTGGTGTGTTCCCACTCCATTTCACTCTGTCTCCGCTTGTTTTACAAGTCCTCTCTGAGGGTCCATTCAACTAGTATCCCCGATTACATTTTATCTTGCAGCTTCCTTGGTAACGGCGGTCATTGCATGACACTAACGTTCCATAGCTTGGTCTTTTAAGCGTTGGACATTGAAGTTCTAGCCAAGAAATCGTTCCATGTTATTTAAAGATGTCTTGAACAACAATCTGATATAAGTGAATCATCTGTCATACTAATAATTAGCTCTTTTGATAGGACGTAAATTTACACTAACAGAGATTATAATCCATCAAATATTTTCGCTCGCCCTCGATTGGTCTAAACGGGTCAGATATTCCCCAATTTTCAAAACCGCGCGTGTTGCGAAAAATATTTGAAGAATAACAAACACAATAGCCTCCATTTGGCGCGAAAATATGCTCGGATATTTGTCCTTAGACATTATCTGTTCATCAAAACTGTTCGCTTCTCCGGAGAGATAATGCCCGCGAACAAATATCCTAGCATCTTTTCGTGCCAAATGGAGGCTATTGTTTATATATTAACCATTAAGCTTCCGCATTTCCTTTTTAAACATTGGCTGGGTAAAATTGTTTCTAAACTTGACGCTTAAGTGGCATTCGGAAGAATAACGCGCGGCCCGTGCTAAAAGTGTGGCGTATGAATTCTTCTTCACGGGTTCGCCAAAACTCGATACTTGTTCGGCGCGCCCACTAGTTCATTTTCGAAGTTTTCCTATGATTAGTGCATAAAGGTCCGTAAACTGGTCTATATATCATCTGGATCAGACATACTTTCCGTTTGTTAGTCTTAGTCTATAAATACTGCCAAGTCATAACATGAGACAAAAAAACTAGTCTATAAATACTGCCCAAGTCATAACATGAGGCAAAAATGTACTAAAACTAGACTTCTAGAACAAAAAAATCATCTTTAGAGAACACTCTAATGACGATCGTCATATATCCCTTCTATCACATTTTTATCGATTATTTTTATTTTCTTCGAACAAGGTGTATATTAAACAATTAGATTATAAGCTCGAGATTTCTGTCGCATTATAGTTGACGAGGGCGCAGCCTGAGTCAACTATCACGCATAGAAATTGAGAACGAATAATCTAATTGTTTTAGTATAAATCTACTAGCCATTCTAAACTTAACCTAAATCCTCCTCACAGATACTTCGAAAATACAAAGGATCGACCGTCATTTTGACAACAAGCGCACACTGCTACGCTACTCACTATCTACAACAGAATACATAGTGACTAAAGTAGCTGAATCAGCGAACGGCGTTCGTGATAGAACGCTAGTAGATTTATACAGAAGCCATAATCGGGGACGGAGAGCGTAGGCGCGCGCCTTTTCTAGTATTGGGACTGTCCCTATGATGTGGGACAATTTTGCTATTTTTAGAAAAAATTGTGCCATCACGTGCAGCAAACGCGCGTACATGCTGCGAGGATTTTTGCGGATTTGGCGCGGAGGAATTGGCGTCCGAAATTCCCGAAATTTTTGATGGTTTTGGCCTACAACTCAATGCATTTNCTGCGAGGATTTTTGCGGATTTGGCGCGGGGGAATTGGCGTCCGAAATTCCCGAATTTTTTTATGGTTTTGGCCTAAAACTCAATGCATTTATGTCTGTAGGAATTTTGCTTCAGTATTTTCGTCGTAATTTGCTCCAATTTGAGTGGAGTAATTAAGACAGTGTCGAGTTTAGGTATGTCCGCCTTACATCACTGACCAAGTTCCGCTGCTTCTTTTACAAGAGCTCTAGCTCCACATTACCCCAATCTAACTTTGACACTTGTTGAAGATTAACAGCTTTTTCATAACACAGCGAGAAAACTTGTTGGATATATCTGGATATAGCAGCGTTTGAGGACTTCAAGGATTCTCTCCTCTTGCCACACGCTTGCGGACCGGGGGATTTCGCTAGAGTCTATCGCGACCGAAAAGTAAAAAAA